CTATTCAAATTTCTTCGTTTCATTCTATTTTAGTGAATTTGTTTCAGTAATTTCAAATGATGTACGAAAATAAACCAATTTTAAAACACGATATTGAAACACTGATTTACCTAAAACAGCCCCAAATCAGAAATGGCGCTCTGTTGCTGCGCGTAGAACCGCAACAACAATAGAATTTTTAATTTCAAATGTGCGCTCAAAATGCTTTTTTTTATACTAATTTACTGGAGCATCTTTTATGAAGGCCAAAGAAGATGTGTAGTTTTTGTGTTGCAAACTTTTTTGCCAGAACTTTTACTCCCTTCGTAAGGAGTGTTTTGATCTTTGCTTCACGGTCACTACGTAAGTGCATTCCCTGAAGCGAAACCGATACCTTGACAGGCTGAGTGTTAGTTCGATAGGTCTCTGTTACTTAGAGGTAGTCTGCACACAACTTAACCAAGTTCGATTTTTTTCCTTCGTAGGTGTAGGGCCGTTAGAGAAGTGGCTCTTCAGGATGGCAATATCGCCTCTTAAAAACTGCAAAAATCCCGGTGGTACTCATGACGTAATGAACGCTTTTAATAAAAGTAAAACCAGTTGATGTCTAAAAATAGCTTGAGAACAACAATGACTGTAAAGGCTGTAAGAATGTTCGTGCAAAAAAAAGTTGATGCAACTTCTAGGCATTTTGGATTTTTTTCGGTAATTATTTTGATGAAAATTAAAAAAAAACTTTTGAATCAGAAAGAAGAAACAAGAAGTAAAAGACACAGTGACACAGTCACATCTAATAACGATGGTCGTGTGTAGTTGCCTCCTCTGTTTGCAGCTCTCCAACGTATTCATCTTAATACTGAGAAGGAATTTTATACAAATTTGGTTTTATTGCCGTCGCTAGATAACGATTACTAACTCTAATTTAGCAATTAAAGCTGCTGCCGCGAAGAAAAATAAGAGAGGGGCATCTTGTTCTCTGAAGAAACTAGGGCTTGGTGCGGCATAGAAGTTTCCGACCTTTTCTCAAGATAGATCGATTGCTAAACCCAGCCGTTTTCAGAAATGAAGTGTATTACGGTGCGATTCACTGGGCCAACAGCACACAGCTTTGTGTGAAAGGGAGTAAGTCACACCAGAATTTTGCTCTTTTCAAGTTAAATCTTGAATCAACTGCCAGTCAGATACACTAACGTTTTGGTAAACTTAAAAATAAAGAGTCAAAAGATAAAAATGCGTACTTTAGTCGGTCTATGTGTTAACAAAAGATGTGCAAGAAGTTACTACTTTGATCTTAACCATTGTCTGTGCTGTAACTCAAGTAAGAGTTAAATAAATCAATGAAATTTTTAGTCAGATTCGGTAAGTCTTTTTAGTTATCAACGTGAACTTTGGCTCTAGATTTCTCAATACAATAAAAAAGTTTTTTAGCTGGCGTCTGTGTTACTGGCCACTGTCCTGCACAACCTTTTCGAAACAACAATCGGTGCATCAAGTAGTCTTTTACATTTTTCCATTTAATTCTATTTTGTCCAATTTGTTTTGATGATTTTGACCAATGCTTGGGAATAAACCGACTAAAACACGTGCTGAAACACTCATTTACCTTAAACAACTCCAAATAAAAAATAATGCTCTATTACTTTGCATAGAACTGCCACAAGTTAGAGTTCTTGAATTCAGATACGCAATGCTTGAAAAATGATTTACGGTGCTTCTTTCTTCCAAAAATTTACTTCAGCACCTTTTGCGAAGGCCGAAGAAGATAAGTGCAGTTTGTTGTATGTTGCAGATTTCTTACGAAGACTTCTACTACTTTTGTAAGAGGTGTTTCAGTCTTTGTTCATGGTCCCTGGGTATGTGGCCTTTCTGAATCAAACTGATACATTTACAAGCTGCCTTTCAGTTCAATACGTATAAGAAGTGTAGAACGTGTACCTTCCAACCTGATCCTTACTTTGTTAGAAATAGATATATGCAATGTTGCTGGACTTTTTTCAAAGAGAAAAAAAGTTTAACAATGTACCAAAGATCTTAATGATGTAGAAAGAGAACCATCTGCTAAAAGGCAAACCTACATTTAGGGTACCAAATCGTCGATCAATGAGAAATACCGAGAAATTCACGAAACATCAAATTAATTCTGGAACACAATCTTATGAACCTCACAAATTGACCGCTTTTTAACATTCACTCTCACCTTAACAAAGAGTTATACCCCATTATATCATAAAACGAACGAACAGACTTAGTCTCAAAGAAATATCTAAATCCCCATGCAAGAAGAGGCGTCACATAAAGAACTAAATGAAAATTTGCTAACAACTTCAATTATAAAAAGACGTTAGCCCGGAAAAG